ACGATAAAGGTTCCCCAAACTGAGCTGAATGCTGGTGTTGGTCACATTCATTTCATGAAAGTTGGCAGAATTCCCCTTTGGACAGATATCACACTCCCCAGCAAAAGGCGAAACTGTGATGGTATTCTTAGATTCATAGTGAGGTAAGTTGTCACTGATTCCTCCATCCACATAGCGCTACAAAAATTAACAGAAATAAGAAGTCTCGAAGGCTGAAAATGTCTAACTAGCAGATTTCCCATGCAAGAATTAAATAGCATTTAAGACTGTAACAGAACAGTCTCTGCCTATGCTCCTGGGCTAAACATTTTGAGTAGCATGCTTCCTCCTCTGCCAGTTAAAAAAAACGTTCCTACCTATAGTTCCATAGATAGCCTAAGAGTATTCTATTTGGGGTTTTTCTATATATTTAAAAAGGGAAAGTCCATTTTAAAGACCATAATCCTACACAACACGCAGAGAAAAAGTAGCGCAGCTGTCTCCTCTTCCTCAAAGGAGAGCACCAACCAAAGAGCTACCAGGGTACTTCTTTAGAAAGGATAAGAGTAAAAGAATAGCCCTACACTTCAAAGCTCAAGTTCTGTGATACTAAACCATTCAGTTAGAATAAGAGTAACTTAAAATTACTCTAAGTAATTAGAATTTGATATAAAAGCATCAAAAATATTTGGACATAAAGAAACTGCAAGTAAAAATGGACAATGCTTCAGAAACCTTGCCAACAGTCATGGATATCTGTTCTGCTTTGAGTGCAAGTTTAGAAGCTGTTCCAGGTTATGCTCTTATCTCCTTCGTGTTGAATTGCCCATTTCTGTAGTTTTAGTGCATCACCATCTCAGACATTTTAAGATCCAAGAACTGAAGAGTTCTGTATTGGGGTAACCAATCTATAGTGCAGCAGCTGCTATGGCTAAAGACAACTCTGCTCGCTCACATCAGCCATCTTTCCAGTGGGGCCAATTGTAGCTAGTTTGTTCTGACAGTGGCAAAAGACTACCAGCTTTGCTGGTTTAGTGGCTGCATTTTCCTTCTTCTTAACTAGGCAAAAGACATAACCTGTAGGTCCATGTAAGATGTTAATGTAACAGAGCAGGTGATTTGAGCAGGAGCAACCTGGATTATCAATTTCATCTGCCTTGATACTCACTCCCTGACCATTCTGAGAAACAAATAGGAATTAGGAAGAGGAAAGCTCAGAGCAATTTTTCCAACATACTCTTCCAGAGCAGCCTGTTCCTACCTGTCGGCTTTCCTGGACACTCTTTAGACCCAGCAGCATGCAGCTACTGACAAACTTCCTATAGGTGTGTAATGCAATCACTAAAGTACACGTGCAATCACCAAGTCCTTCGTGGAAGTATCAAGTGTAATACAACAGGTTTGGCAAAGGAGGAGCCATAGCATGCGGCCTTCTCGTGAAATTATTAAAAGGTGGAAGTACGCATCTGAGTCACTGTTCTACAGAGGTAAATGGTTTTAATTATTTGGAGTTTCTGCCTATCTGTTCCCCCTAGTAATTTCTTAATCTAAAACCATTGCTGTGTTTGAAAGGGGTAGTAAAACCCAAACAAAACCCACCACACCCAAAAGCTTCACAACTGGCAGTTAGACATACCTATTGAAAGTTATCCTTAAGTCTCTGTTTTAAAGTAGACATGCGTGAAGCACCAAGCCAGTACACAGCAAGATGCTACAAAGTTTACATACTTGACATTCTACTGTGTTCAAGCCCTGCAGGAGTCATGCCAAGCATATGCAACTGCGGTATTCTTACCAATTCACATCAAAAATGCCTCCTAAGCATCAAAATCATATCAAAATAATTGCAAAGACCACAAGGATGCAATGATTCCTTCCTTCCCCTTCCCTCAAAATAGGACCACATAAAGCATCACTTGTATGTTTTTGTACTCTGAACTAAGCCTTTCAAAATAACATTGTTGTCTGGGGACAAGAACTGAATAGCCAGATTAGCCTGGATCCACCTAAACCTTGGATTCAGTCCAACGTCCTGTTTTCATAACACCTTTAATCTGGAAGAGTTTAAGGAGACATACAAGGTTTAGAAGTACAGATAAAGAAAAAATCTGTATACAGTTCTAATCACTTTTGCTTAAATTGCAGCATGAAAAAGAAAATACATTTCATGTCTGTCCTTGACCTTTTAGAACTTCCAATTTGCCTTGAGAACAGTCTGTCACCAACCACTGGTAAAGATGTTTTGAGTTTTCTTTCAATATTCTTCCCCTCTCCTTACGTAAGGAGCAAAGTTGGAAGGAAAGCAAATGCAAGTTAATATAACACTATAACAAAAAGCCATGAATGTCACTGCCTCGATTTGAAATGCATGTCTGCTTCCAGACCTGTTAATCAAGACACCTACAAGAAACTATACTAACTTTTCTGCAGACGTTGCCCCTTTAATGGGGGATTTTAGAAAACCCAGTACAGCCATGAAGTATTAAGAGGTTCTGTAACCAACAGTTCCTGTGAAGTAATAGAACAGCCTAATATTGACACTTTACCTTTAAAAAGCAACATTTCTTACACTGAATACAAATGACAGAAGACATCAAAAACCTTTGTTTATATCTAACTGAACACAGAACTTTAATCCAGTTTTAAGGCAGTTCTACCTACAGCAAGAACACAACGATATACAATAAACTATCTTACAAGATTTTATTTTTTTTTAAACAAACAAGTGACCCTTCCTATAAACTTGTGAAGGTGAATAAGCATCACTTTCTTCAATAAATATTTATCCTTAAGTTAAATACTCGCTAGCTTTTGCATGGAGAAGAAATATACGTAACAGATCTTCCACACATCTAGTGTTCCCTTGCTTTTTTGAAAAGTTGTAACATACAGCTACAGTACTAGAAGCTACGATGAAGGGTTTTATTTTACAGTAGGATAACTGAAAAAACATACACATTGTCTCTTAGTATTTTCAGAATAGCTAGAACTATTTTTAGATCTTAACAATAGAGACTTACCACACCTCTAAATGACGGTGGAATTAGGCCACAATAAATAGGCACAAATGAACTACAGATTAAAGCCTGTAGGAAAATGAGACCATATAAATTAAATGGTAACTGTTCTACTATTGAAATTATCATTTATCTTTTTAGATGTTAGCAAAAACAGCCAAGCAAGCAACCAAAAAATCCCCAGCAAGTACACTTGAATAAAAAGAAAAGGGGAGGGGGGAAAGGGTATTATCAAACATTATTTTAAACAGGATGAGGGTATTCCACATTTCTTTTTTAGAATATAACCACACTCCATCTAAAAAAATGGTAAGACTCACTGAAAGACCATTTCTAGAAATGCTGATTAACAAGGATAAGTTTATGATCATTCACTCAAGCTACACATTTTCTGAGTAACCAAAGTAACTAACTGGGGACACAAATATCAGCATTCTGGGATCATATTAAACTAGCTTTGTAACTGATATTAAGAATTTTAAAAAGCTATTTTTAACTGTTTCTTGATCACTGCGCTTTTATAAGAATGACCTTAAGAAAATTCTTATTCATGAAGGATATAGTTTCATTAGATACACTGCACTTTAAAGGCATTTATCCTTTTTAAGATTGATTCCTCGCACCTACTCACTAAAACAGTTCGCAGATACATTGACTGGGAAAACTAATAGGTGAATTTAGTGTAATGGAGCTTGAATTCACCTTTAAAATACTGCCAAAGTCACAATATCCTAAAATGTTTAAAATGGAAATCCAATGGATGATGTTAAATGGACTTAAGATTACAGAAACTTTTAAAAGTTGCCAAAAAATAGACATACCTGGACAACTTCTTCTTTAGAGTTAAAATTAGATATCAATGCATTTTTACCATCTGATACTCTGGTTAGCGAAATACACAGTCTGCCCGATGACAACTGGTGAGTGTTTTCTGGAAGATTTCTCATCAGTCCATCTCTTATTATCTTTATCACATTAAAGGAAGGATGAAGAGGACCAAGATTTCGCTTTCTAGCTTCTTTGGCTAATGCCAGAACATCTGCACAAGCTTGAGCTGAAAATAAAATGCATTTAACTTAAGAACAGAAGATATGTCAAAAACCATACTTCCAGTAATAAAGCATGTCTAGAACTCCAACTTTTCTCTCTGATTGCCAGCATGAAAATTCAAGAGCTTTTTAACAGATAAAATAACTATCCACTAGCGTTTAACAGAGTTTAGGAGTTTTCTGAGGAAAAAAAAAAGTCACTTTAGACTTTCAAATAGAACTCCCGGTGAAGATCCAGCCACTAAGTTACTTATATGTTATTTTTATGTAGACTGTAGGTGTAAAAATACCCATGTAAGATGCTTCCGTTAGGAGCTACTCATTCCAGAAACACATTCTTTAGAAAAAACCAAAGATGAGTGACCTCCCATAAACATGTATGCATGGACAGACTCCATATGCAACATCCATAAAAACCTACAGTGTATGATGCACAGATTTAAGGTCTACAGTATGTCTACTGAAGAAGCAGAGCACCTGCGTCCATCACAGCTATTAACACTCGTTGGACTTTAACAAAACTTAAGGTTTCAGGGCACCATTTATCTTCATTTATATATAAACACAATAAAGGGAACATTAAATGTGAACTTATGGTAAGGAATGTCAGGAGGGAAGTTTTTAAAGCAGTGGGTAAGGAATGTGGAAGACATCTGCAACACCTCTCACACAGGTCTCCACCTAAATAGGTGCATTTTTACCAACATGTAACAGACATATAATAATTTTTTCTCCAATTAAATCAGCGTTTCAGAACTACATCAAACCACTACGGAAGACATGATTGTTCCTAAGAACACTAAAATCATTTTAGCAACCACACATCTAGTCATAGTAAGAACAAACAAAACATTGCAGGTGGATGAGCTGCTGAATTTTTAATGTCATGTTTCTCCAGGGCATACTTTGAGGAAATTGCCTGATAAGCTCGTCAACTTGGTAGAGGAAAGGGGGTGGGGAAGAAGGTCAAAGTAACAGGTTATTAACCTGAGTGATATGCTACAAGGTCATCTAAAAATATTTTCAGAACTTGCATATTTTAACTTACATAGACTCTTTCTAGAATAGACAGGATTCAACTTAAAGTTAAATGTGAGCCCTGCACTGGAAACGACTCTGCTTAAGCCTTTGAGTTCAGACTAATTTCCAAAAGTATTCTCTTTCTACAATGTTATTTTTTCCTCCTCAAATAGCAATACCTAAACCTTTCTCATTCCTAACACAGTAAACCAAGAGTCTACGTTCAAAAGAGTATCTCTCAAGAAATCTGAGGTATCAGACGTACTCCATTTTTACCACAATTTTTTTCATTCCACCCTTGCAGAGTGAAGCTTTGGGCCAAGAATCCACTGATACCAGCAGCCTGACCCCACCTCCTGCCCCAGAAGATAGCAAACAATTTAGACACAGCTCACTGTTCATGGTCAAATATATGCTTATGTTAGTAAAACACATTTTACATGCAATCAAAAAAATCGTACAAGTCACATTCTGGCAAGTGAAGAAGTTATTTCCAAAAGCAGTTATGTAGACAGTTTTAGCAGTTCTATTTTTCATGCACTCAGATATAAATTACCACCTCCCTTTTCTTTTTAATAAACTAAGTTAGCAACGTTCAATCTTCTAGACTTTCTGAACAGAGAAATCAGGCACGTTGCAGGAGTCTGAGATACTGAACTACCAGAACTCTGTCCAGGAAGTCTTGGAGCAGTCTTAGTGCATGCATTAATTTCCTTTTGCAAAATAAGTACATTTTTGAAAACTTATGCACCAAGCAAGTAAACTGCTTGTTCTAAAAAACAGACCAAGAGCACTGGGTGCATGGACACATGAGCAAGCAAATACACACACTCTCACTTCTCTACCAGGTCTCGACCCTGTTTTTCTAGCTAGCATCCTGTCAAATTGAAGCTCAAGCTATTACTTAAGTTCGAAGCACGGTAACATCTCTGCTCATTTGCACTGCACGCCTGTTTCTGCAGAAACAAAACGAAGTAAACCAGGGCCCTCTACTAACCTTGTGTTGTGATTATTTATCTCTCACCGTAAAAAAAACATCAGGCAAGTATCAGCTCACTTTACGTACCCCATTAAAGGGCTGAAAAACTGATGACCTCTAACAGTTTAGATTTGAACTCCTCTCATTTCCTTTCAGAAAATAACTACCCATCAAAATGAAATTTGATTTCACAGTTTACCCATCTCTTCCACATAGAAGAATTTCTACATTTGAGGTAGTCGGGGGGGGGGGGGATCAAGTTTACATATTTCATTTATTGTAACCTATTTTAAATATGAGAAGGGCTCCTAAGCAAAAAAAAAAGAATATGTTGTGTCTACCCAAGAGTATGTGATATTAAAACACTGAAAACATAAAAAGCTGTTCATTATTAATTCAACAGACTTCAAAGTATCCCAACTTCTTTTCCTTCTCCCTTCCTTTCTCAACAGGACTAAAATACAGTTACCTCTTAGGCTGGTGTATTCCAAAACGGGATCTTCGCAGAAAGGGACAGAGCTCAAGTCAGACTGGGGTTTTAGGCAGAACTTGGTACATCTGTTTTGGTTTTTGAAACGCAAGAGAACTAAAGAAATTAATGTTCCTATTAAATGTGAACTGTTTCTAGTTATATTTCTATATTCCTATTTTTAATGGTTGTTGTGGTTTAACCCGGCAGGCAGCTAAACACCACACAGCCGTTCGCTCACTCCCCCCTCAGTGGGATGGGGGAAGAGAATTGGAAAAAAGGTGAAACTCATGGGTTGAGATAAAGACAATTTAATAGGACAGAAAAGGAAGGCAAAATAAAAGAATATACAAAGGAAGTGATGCACAAAGCAATTGCTCACCACCCGCTGACCAATGCCCAGCCAGCCCCTGAGCAGCCACCGTGCCCCCCCAGCCAACTCCCCCTGGTTTTTTTTTTTTGTTCAGCATGACGTCACACGGTATGGAATATCCCTTTGGCCAGTTTGGGTCAGCTGTCCTGGCTGTGCCCCCTCCCAGCTTCTTGTGCACCTCCAGCCTCCTCGCTGGCAGGGCAGTATGACAAGCTGGAAAGTCCTTGACTTAGTGTAAGCACTGCTCAGCAACAGCTACAACACCAGTGTGTTATTAACATTATTCTCGTACTAAATCCAAAACACAGCACTGTACCATACTAGGAAGGAAATTAACTCTATCCCAGCCAAAACCAGGACAATGGTTAAATAATTATTAATTCATTTCCTACAGAGTAAAACCTGACATCGTATTTACAGCCCCCACCAAACCTGTTCTCTTTAGTGCCCCACTAGAATGGATGACCACATCGCCACCAAAATACCGGATCTCCAAGGCATCCATGGGGAAGCTCTCACAAGAGGCATGCACCTTAGCAGTTCCAGTTTGGAGTAGCCTGGAATGCACTTCATCCTCAAAAGAACAGTCTCCTCTAAGCCTCTCCCCTCTACCTTCCCCCAAATTCAACAAAGGAAACTTCTTTCTCAGTCTGGAAAAGTACACTTTTTTTTTTCCATTCAATGGCTAATGTTTACATTTATTCAAACTTGAAATTCTACAGACTCTCAGTTTGCCCATCCAACAGGCAACATGAAGCACAAAGAAACCCTTTAAAACACCCAGCTACAAACCTGTGAGAGATGAAATATGCACGTCCATTTTAGTCAAAAACCCTGTTCGTATATATACATACACATACACTCAGAGTTTTATGTGCACCAACAAGCCTACTAATTCAGATCTGCGTCCAGTGAAGTCTTGAACACCTCCAAGGATGGAGATCCCACAACCTCTCTGGGCACCTGTTCCAGTATTTTATCACCCTCGTGGTAGTTTTTTCCTTATACCTAATCAGAATTTGCCATGTTCCAGCTTGTGTCTGCTGCCTCTCATCCTTCCACTACGCATCTCTGAGAAGAGTCTGGCTCTGTCTTCCCACAGTGAAACGCAACTCTGAGAACACGTGGGACTTATAACCACAACTGCAGAAATAACAAATACTGCATACTAAAGTATATCAATGTAAGGCAGGCGTACAATATGAACTAACGAAATACATCAAATTATTATACCACAGTGTTTCTTTAGAGCTTATTTACAATCCTCTGCTTTCACACAAGCTCACAAAAAATTAACAGCTAAAAAGATACAGAATTTACATGGGAATACCTTCTTAGTTTGATGAATTTACAATGATTCACAGATTTTAGAGTGAATTAGTGGCTGGGTTTAAATTGCCTTCCAAGTGGCTTTTTTTTTTTTTTTAAGTTTCCAGATGAAATGCACTTGCCCATGAAATACAATATCTTGGGCAGTGATCGCACACATACGAACTATTCTATTAGTTAGAGAAAAGCAAAGATCTCAGTTGGCATATGAGAAGGGAAAGACAAGGGAATAATTTGAAGTCTGCAAGTCTCAATTATTAAAATGCTAAAAATTTTAAAAGCTCTTAATAACATACTTTCAAGGTAAACAATATACATTTTTGTGCTTAAGAGCACTGCAAATATTTAAAGCAGCTTCCTTCTTAAATCAATTTTAAGTCTTAAGTAATTGCAAATGGCTATGTTCTAAAACTAAATAGTTATTGTGGATAAATATGATTTTTTTTCAAAGCTGGTATTAGGCTCATAATAACTCAAGTGTGTTATATTAGGACATTAGAGCAAAATTAAATTAAAAAGTTTAAGTAGCACAAGTTTATTGCTAAAGCTTTGAAGAAATTAAGCATATGTGATAGAGATCAGTGGCTAAGCAGCAGGGACAAACATTTCATAGCATTACTCTCTTGCGTGTACAGAGAACTTCTGTTTGGTTTAGTCAGTGAATTGTTCCCTCAGAAATTTAAAAGCAAAACCCAAACCCCCTCCAAATCAAAATAAGCACTCGTCGTTTTCCTCCTCCATCTATAAGTAAGATGAAATGTGAATTTACAAAACCTTCTAGTTCTCAACCTGTTAAGGGTACCGTTAACAAAAACAATCAGTGTTGACTCATGAACTAGACAAGCTTTTATTCGGTGGATTTCTTTGGTTTAAAAGGAAAACCATTCTCAGATTTCCAGATATTTCATACACTTTTTTTAACTGCATCTCCAGTCACTATTCTAAACACCTTACTTGACACCATATTTTACTTGTACCAAGCTTGCTTTAACGTCTAGCATGTCTAATTCACTAGATAAAAGTATATTTGGGTTCTCACGAGCCCTAAATAGGTAAAAGTAAGGTATACTTCTCCTGCTGCTAGAAAATAAGTGCTTATTTCACAAGAGAGACTATAGTTGCAAACATCTTTTATCCAGTATAACTACAAAACAAGATTAACTCTACTACTTAAATCACAATTAAAATCAGTGATTTTAATCAATCCACCGTTTCTAATCATATACCTAAGTGACCTATGTAACATACACTGTGCACAGATTAAAGAGGAAAAGCATGTTAAAGCTAACCTAAGCCCTGACCCTAACTGTCTTAGCCTTACCCCAAGAAAGGAGAAGCTTTAGAGGAAGCAAGTTAAAGCCAACTGAAACTTCACGTGCAAAGGTAACTACAGAAGAGATGCATTATTTCCCAATAAAGTGTAAATATTTTGTTTCAAACTGATGACAGGATTAGTCTGCCTGCTTTGAACGGTGTGAGGATTCAGCTACCTCCCGCTCTCCCAACAGTTTTTAATTCCTCTACTTTGCACAAAGGTGAGAGCAGCTGTCATCAACCCAGCGTTTGCAACTCCAAGGCCAGGAGGCACAGGAGCTCCTTAGGTGGACACGCGTATCTGTCCCTGCACCTGGGGGAGTAAACTCCAACCACTTGGCTACACAAGTGTTGAAATCAGATGAGGCATCGTCAAGACCGTTTCTTGAGCCCGGGAGGTTGCTGAATATGCGTCCACGGTGAACGCACGCTGACTTTACCACCTGCCTCTTCCCCCACCCTCAAGGAAACACACGATTTTTCTGTATTTTACTCGGAGGTAAGATGTGCACGCAACGAGACGTAAGGGAATAGAAAAAGAGACACCCCGGCACCTACCGGGCCATACAACCCGTTCGGATTTAATTTCATAAAAGGTGCCGCGTTGCTCTTTGGGGGCAGAAAACGAGAAAGCGAGAAAAAGAGCCAGCCCCGCAGGGAAGGGCAGCCCAGCCCAGC